TATATATATATATATATATTTGTATAGATGCTCAAGTTTTGCAGAGTTTGTTCCTATTCACTGTTGACAGTGTGTGATAAAGATGCCTTTACTGGTACTTTTTTTCATGCTTTCCTAGATTGTCGAGTGTACTATTTGTTCATATCAATTTCATAAATGAAGTGAAAGTTTTGTGCTTAGATTTCTTCAGTTTGGTGTTTTAGTCAATTTGTCTAGCGTTGTTTTCCCGCTGTGAATGCTTCAAGACATCGCGTGCTGCTGCTGTGAATGCTCGTTAAGCTAATGTTCTTCGTGTCCTCAGTTTTCATGCATATACGTGGGCTTTACACACTTACTGAGCTCGTTCGCCTGTTGCTACTTCTCCTTTAAGTTCAATTGCTGTTCGCGTGGTAGTTTTTCTCTTGATCCTACTTATATCTGTTTCATTTGGCTATGTTGTTTCATGCTAGACTATGCAATCTGTTGGCTTTCTGTAATAGTATTTCATCACTTACACTTTCTCATTTCAATATATGAGACAGGTGATAAAAATAGTTGCCTTTACAATCTGGAATATACTATGTTTAAGGCTATGTTACTCGCACTCTCCAAAAATGTCGCAAGGTGTGTGTCAGATCTTCCAAAAGTAGTGCATTTACGGAGGATCTGACACTGGAGAGTTAGTGCAATATAGCTTTTAGGTTATCATATTAGGAAAACCTTTTCAGCATACTGGTTTTCTGTTATACTATGGACCATATTCATACAGCTCTCTTAGCTAGTTCCCTCTTTTATTCACTATCGGAGAAATGATAAGTGGATCTTGGCCCTAACTCAATCCTAAAAGCTAGCTCGTGAGATGAGAATTGCCCAAGACCACATAAAGAGACCGCAAAATCTTCATCCCACCAGGGGCGGAGCTAGAAGTGCGGCTACGGGTTCGGCCGAATTCAGTAGTTTTTGCTCAAACAGTATATTTGTATTAAGAAATTCATTGAATATGTGTAAATATTAAATTTTGAAGTCATCGCTCCAAAATTCAGAACCCATAAAGTTGAAATCCTAGCTCCGCTTTTGTATCCCACTTATGTGGGACTCAACAACTTTGTCATGGAAATTTGAAATTAATATGTCAACAACAATGCAAATTTTAATATTATTTCCATCTGAAATATAGCAGAAATGTGGAAATGAGAATCTAAAACTGGGTGGAGAAGGTGTTTATTAACAAAAGTTTCATTTTTAATGTTGTTATATTAATAGTTTTGACCTTTGATTGTAAAAGAACATAGACAAAGGTCTGCAGTTTCAACTCTGATTTAATCAAAGATCCAAAGCACAGGGCGTATCTAGTGTTTAACTTATGGTTTCATCCGAACTCAGTAGTTTTAGTTCCGACCTTGTATATATATACTTAAAAATTTATTAAAGCAGTACAAATAATAGATTCAAACCCAATAACTATTATTAGAGATGGAATTCAAAAACAACCATCAACTATAACCCCAAAAGAACCAAATTCGCTAAACAACATAAAGGAAAAATGAAGGGAATATCTCATCGACGTAATCATATTTCTTTCGGTAAATAAGCTCTTCAGGCACTTGAACGTGCTTGGATTACATCTAGATAAATAGAAGCAAGCCGACGAGCAATGCCACGAAATGCACGTTGTGGTGGAAAAATATGTGTGGTAGAATCCCAAACTTGAACGCATAATCTTCAATTACAAGATCGGCAGATCCGTCTATGTCTCACTTTTAGCTCGCGATAAAAACTATTTACGCCCGATAGCCGTAAAACTTTATAAAATTTGTGTAATATATATTTTTTCGGTTAGTATTTTGAGAGCGGCTATACAATGTCATTTTCCTGATGAAAAATATCAGCGGACTTACTATATATTCTTTTGCTACAGTGAGTGCGAATTTAGATTCATATCCTTAAAATTTTCAATTATGTATAGAGAGACAGATTCAGTCGTAAATTTTAAAGTGATACCTAAACCGATGTTTGCTCTTTGTTTTTTGTTTGGTTAACGTAAGGTCTAAGAATATAAATATTATAAAAGTAAAATTTTAAAAAGTTGAGTAGTGTACGAAAAAATGAAAAATTCAAAGCTTATCTTATAGCTAGAATAAGCATAAATCCACTTGCATTTTTTTTTTCATTTTATTGACATCTACTACCTAATCTATTGATGGAGTCATAAATAAGAAAAAATTAAAGTCATAGACCAATTAAATTCTATTTGGTGACCATATATAGGATAAATTAAAGCCATCTAAAATCCCCTTAAACCTTGCTCAATTATTATCCGTAGTTTAGAGCCTAATAACTATAATTTGCTCAATTATTATCCGTAGCTATTGTTTAATTATTACTAACTTGTATTACTCGTATTCAAAAGCGCAATGAATACAGCCTATGTCAACTGTATTTGTTCGTACAATTGTATTCATTCGTGCAACGAATACAATATGTATCCACTGTATACAGGGGTATATACAAAGGATACAACATGTATGGACTATATTTGTTCGCGCAACGAATACAACTAAGGCGAAATACAAAATACACGAAAATAAAATATTCCTGTTGGGATTCAAACTCAAGACCTTCACTACCTAAGCAAACGCTCTAACCAATTGAGCTATGAGAGCTTCTTGCCCTCTTATTTCAGTCCAAAACAATTAATTTCTTATTTTATGAATTTGCTATAAAATTTCGAATATAGTTACGAATGGTAAATTTGCTGAAAGTATAGCTACGAATGATAAATACTGTGTTAATATTTGATGGGTCGAGTAATTTTCCTTAATAAGATCAAATTAAAGTCATATACCAACTAAAGTCTATTTGGTGATCCATATATAGGAGAAAACCATCTTAATTTCCCCTTAACTCTTGCGAACACACACTACGTAGGTCAAATTTTTTCACGTGGTATCAGAGTAGACAAAGATCTGAGGTTTGAATCTCACAAGCACTCATTAATCAAATATGTCACGTTCAAAAAAAGAATCAAGCTCGCAAGTGAAGGCGTGCATTTTTCCTAACATGTTAAACTTTTTAGACGACTTATTATAAACCTAAAATAAATAATAATGATCAATATATGGAGATTTAAGACATACTGATAATATTTATTTCATTTTATAGCACCGATAACAAGAGTCTTCTTGACCAAACTTAAGTCAATTGAGATACCAGTACACTTATGTAGGAATTAAATTGAAATACATTTCAATAAGTAATAGTAATAATTTCTTAGCTTGGCTGACTTTCTTCTCAAATTTCAATATGTGAAAGCTTCTTTGCCAGTCCATATTGTCAAACACTGCATATCCAACAGAATTACAAGAAGCTAATTACGGGTGAAATTCAAAAATAGCCAAATTTACAAGTGCTAATTGAAAAATAGTTACCGTTTTAAAATTTAGCCACTTTTCATGTAAAGATAAATCGGAACAAAAACACTGTTCAAAATTCAGAAAATATTCCAGCATAATATATTGGACTTCCAGCATGATATACTGGTCCAGTATAATATGCTGGAGTTCATACACAGGTGCTCCAGTTTCCAGTATATTATGCTGGAACTTTCTGTGTGTTGGAGTTCCAGCATAATATGTTGGAAATTCGTACACAAGTGTACCAATCTCTAGTATATTATGCTGGAACTTTCCGTGTTGCAGCAAATAGTGGCTATTTTTTAATGGTTTTGTAATTGCTGGCCATTTTTCAATTACCAGTCCGAAAACTGGCTAGCCCATGCTATTTTCAAGGTAATTAGAGACTTAATCCGGAGGCTAAATTGCAGTTGAGTTGAAAAAACTCTTAGTTGGAACAGAGGAAAGTAGAGAAACCTCTTGGCTTTCAATTATAATTGCTAATCATAAAACATGATAATTAAATCGCATAGAAGAAAATTGTGTCAAAATACCAGCAATTTCTTTAGAATCGATGCAAATTTAGCTAAAAGAAAACAATGAATCCATATATGTGATAGTATCGTTTAATTAGTTAATCTTACCGTTTTGTTATTATTATTATTGTTGTTATTATTGTTATTCATTAGAGACTCAACTTCTGCAATTATTTTAGTATCGAATTAATGAACTGAACCTTGATAATTATATATGGAAACTTGAAAAGTATATATGGATAGAAAACTTAATAATTAACATGAATTTTCTTGATTCTTTAGCTAGTTGATTGGTTATACGACGACTCAAGTCTATTACCAAGACTTATAACGAGATGGATAGAATCCCTCCATTCTTAAATAAAGTTCTCAGGTTCGTACTTTAGAAATGAATTTTTTTTGGTAGGGAGCGTTTCTCCGGCTCGTTAATGAGGTATTATCACTTTTAACCCATACCAGAAACTATTTACATTCCGTAGCCGAAAAAGTGTATAAAATTTGTATAATTTTTATATATAACATACAGAATATATATATATATATATATACATTATCATTTTCTTCCCGTTAATGGGTCTTATGTATCATAAATTCAAATTAATCGGATCAGTAGGTTCTAGATACCAAAAAAATAATAGACTCAAGTGACCCTAATAATTAACATGAAAACTTAATTCTTTTTGTTTTCATCGTCGAAACCAAAACGTTAGTTTACTAAATTAAAGGAAAAAAAAATAGAAAATAGAAAATAATGGAAAATAAAAATGTACCTGTCACAATCCACTTGTGGACCAATAGGAACTCTCTTGATCTTACAAACCTTGAAAAGTTTTCTTCCTTTTTTAACATCAATAACAGAAGAATTCCCAATTTTCTGAAGACATTTGCATAAATCTTTAATATCATTAATTGTACTATTTTTTACAAGACTAGCCAAAGTTTGAGAACCTTGACAACATTCTTCTGTAATATTTTTTCTACAACCTAATAAAAATGGTTGACATGGTGACAATAAATCTTGGGCTTGATAACAAATCAATGATTTCATAGGAATATTAGTATTTTGCATAGTCACAAATCCTACAATTCCTAGAACCATTAGTGACCATATCATTGATTTTTTCATCCCCATATGTTGATAATATTCTAAGTAATGAGAGTTTTTTTTGTTGGTTTGTTGGTTTTGGATAGATGGTGTTCAAGTGAATTATTTTTTGGGCTAATTATATAAATGTATGGATTCTTTTACTGTCAATATTGGAGTGGTGTTCAACATTTCTACAGATCATGATTACCCTTTTTTTGGGTTGGTGGAGCGTGGGGGACATGGAGGTGAATTCAGGAGTCAAAATGGGAGGGTTGGGCCGATTTTGGGCGGGTTTAAATGGGGAGAAAATAAAAAATAGCCAGATTTACAACTGGTCGTTCAAAAATAACTTAGTTTCAAAAGTAATCGAAATTTAACCACTTTTCATGTAAAGATAAATTTGAGCGAAAACACTGTTCAAAACTCGGAAAATACGCCAGCATATTATACTGGAGTTCCAACATAAGTATGCTTGAACTCCAACATATTATACTGGAGTTTCAGGATAAGTATGCTGGAATTCCAGCATAATATGATGGAGTTCCAGCATAAGTACACTAGAACTCCGGCATAATATACTGGAGTTCCAACAAGTATAATTGTCCAGTATAATATACTGGAGTTTGGAGCATCGGTGCTCCAGTCTCCAGTATATTATACTGGAGTCAGCAAAGTATACCGGTCCAGCATAATATGCTGGAGTTCATACATAGGTGCACCAAACTCCAGTATATTATGCTGGACCGGTCTCTATTGCAGCAAAATAGTGGCTATTTTTCGGTCTCTGTTGCAGCAAAATAGTGGCTATTTTTCATTGACTTCGTAAACGCTGGCTATTTTTGAATGACTAGTCCGAAAAATGGCTATATCATGCTATTTTTACGTTAAAATGTACCGAGTCAATAGATGGGCGGGTTAATTGAGTTGATTTTGGACGGGCCAAAATGGGCCGAGTCAATAAATGAGCAAGTAAAATAACCTGTCCAAAAGTTATTTGGGCAGAGATATGCTGGGTTAAGATGTGCTAAAATTTGGGTTATAGCACAACTCGTCCAACTCTTATCAAGCTTTAATTAATCTGTGTTGTTTTCTTATGAATTGTTTAATTATCAAATAAGACTTTTTCCTTTGTTATGGTCATATATAACATATCAAATAAAAAAGGAATTATTTTAAAGATATTTTAGTAAAGTCACTCATGGATCAATTTGGGCTAAAAACTAGCCCAACTTTAGATGGGCTGGATCAAGATGGACTGAGTTCAACAAATGGACGAGTCAATGACCAGACCCGCCCAACGTTGGACGGATTGGAGGGTCAAATGGGTTTGGGCTCAAATTGCCACCCCTAGGTGGATCTAAGGCGAATTCCTTCTTTAGAAGAATCAACCCAAATAGTCGTCCACCTAATTTCTTAAACTAAAATAGCCGGCGGATATATAATATATGTAAAATTCATGTATAATATGTGTATAACTAATATATAATCTATGTATACAAACTAGAAAAAATAAATAGTATATCTGACTGGCTATTTGTGTACCAATCCCAATTCTCCAATTCAACTGATTCAATTTTTTTCAAACATATATATATTAATGCACACACATTATATACAACAACAATAAATTCAATGGAATCTTACAAGTGAAGTCTGGGAAGGGTAGTGTGTACGCAGATTTTACCATTACCTATAAAGGTAAAGAAGCTATTTCCGAAGACCCTCAACTCAAGAACGTAAAAAATGGAGCAATTCTTCGATCTCAACTAGCTATTTTTGTTTATTGAAAACACAAAAGCAAGAAGAAATATACAAACTTGAGGTGTGGAATCAAGTGAAAGCACTAAAGATTGTGGAATAATGCAAGTAGTGGATTATTGGATTATGGAAGACATGTAATCAAGGATTTGGCAAGGGGATATTATCATTTTGTTGAATATTAATAACAAATCATTAGCTATAGAATTGGATTTGACACCCAATAACTTGCCGTCCATTGAAATTGAAAAGTCTTTAATTGGTTCTAAGCACTAATTTTTCTTAATATCATCATCGCGTTGGTTCCATTAGAGAAGGAAACACATTTTATTTGAATTTCTTAATTCTCATGGCTCGAACTCGAGATCTTTTGTTTAAGGATGAAAAGGTTGCATCCATCCCGTGCGGGCCCATTGGTTGTAAGCCATTTATGTTGGAAAAATTACATTGTATAGCCGCTCTTAAAAATTAAACAAATTTTATACAATTTTTCGGCTACCGAATGTAAATAGTTTCTGGCACGAGCTAAAAATAATAATACCTTGCTTTGATTGCGTTGTAGACTTGGATTTACATAAAGTAAATATGATTATTTTATTAATCATTTGAGCATAACATACATATTCAACCACAATACAAGCTTTATGTGTGCTAAAGAAATGCCCACATGCTTCTTAGTGCATTCCACTTGATGAAGATACAATACTGCATTTTCCAAAACAAACCAATAAATTATATTAGTAAAGTACTATTGAACTGGAAAATAATGTATATAAAGTCCAAATTAAGAGGAAAATAAGAATTAACCTAAATAGCCATCCAGTCAACTGATAAAAATAGCCTGCTAACGATGTATAATATATGTATAATTCATGTATAACATATGTATAATCTATGTATATTGGCTAGGCAATATAAATAGTGAATCGAACCAGCTATTTATGTAAAGATTTTGAAGATTTAATAGTGTAGAAATAACACCAGGTAGCCACTCTAAAGGGCTGCTATTTAAAAATTAGCCAACACATCCTGAATTTCAGTTTTTCAGTTCAATTTTTCGGGACAAAAAAATCCTGAATTGTACTAAAATTAAGACGTTAGTTTAAAATTTCCGGACAAAATATGTAGCGGCTAATATTTAAATAGCTTCTCTGAGAATGGCTATCTGTGCACTTGCCCCGTCAATAGCAAACTATTAGTAATATAGCCATGAAACTTCACCTTCATGGGAGAATAACAAGAGGTTTCTTGTGGTGAATTGAATGGTTGTCATGATTAGGAATTGGTCTCTTGAAAGACATGATTCCTGTATTCTTGTATTTGTTCAGCTTGAAACCTCGGGTTAATGATGGTGAAGCTTTTAGTCTGCTCAAGCAATCAAGAATAAAAAAAATTTATGAAAGAAATTTAAAAGAGATTTGCCATTTAACAAATTAATTTTGAGCATATAGATGAGTTCAAGATCAAACATATGTGGGGTGTCAAATTTAGCCCAAAAAAGTATAATGCGCAAACTATAAATTGGCTGGTCGGCTGAAATTAATTACACTCGCTATCTTAATCAAAAGAAATTTTGAGCATGCTTGAATCTTATAGCCCACTATAAACTCTCAAAATTAATCCAATCCGCTCATTTAATTGATCAATCATTTATAAAATCAAAAGTAAGCAAGAATTAAAAAGGGAGAGAGATATTACATTTTGCAATCAACATTTGGACCAATAGAAAGAGAAACATTAATGTTGCAAAGCTGAGGAATTTGCTTAGCTCTTTCTTGAATTACTCCAATAGACAAAGCTTCTTTCTTGAGACATTCACATACTTTTTTAAGCTTCAAATCATCATCATTAGTAGCTAATATTTTCATTAATCCCTTAACACCATTGCAACAAGGAACACTAATATCACCTTTTCCCATTAAAAAACCTTTGCATGGCAAAAGCTTAATAATGGTATTTGGACATTCATTGCCATTAACAGAATTAATTGCCATAATTAGAGCTAAAATCACGAACCCGAAAACAAAAATTGAACGACCCATATTTGATATTTTTGATTGAAATTGATGAATTTGTGATGGAAAGTTTTAGGATTTGTGTATATTTTTATAGTAGAAATTTTAGCTTGAAGTTCTTGAGCAAAAGTGTGAGTATGAGAAGTGTATGCATGAAAAATGCAACTTAAAAAGAGTTAAAGGTGAAAAGGGTTGGATTTTAAATGTGAGTATGTAATTGTTAATAATGTGAACATTTGGACTATCTCAATATAGTAGCATAGAACATGTGTAATCCACTTCAAAATAAAAGAAATTACAATGATTTTTTGAAGAATGAAAAGAAGAAAGGATATTTCCAAAAAAGAATTTATCAGATGTTGATGAGTTGTTATTACAAGTTATAATATGCTTAACTTTATTGACTGTGTTAAAACAAATTATACTATCAGTATATAAAACTTAAGAAGGAGAGTCTTGACGTAACTGATAAAGTTGTTGTTACGTGATCAGGAGGTCACGGGTTCTAGTCGTGGAAATAGCCTCTTGCAGAAATACAAGGTAAGGCTGCGTACAATAGATCATTGTGGTCCGGCCCTTCCCCGAACCTTACGCATAGCGGGAGCTTTGTCGTAACTGATAAAGTTGTTGTCATGTGACCAGGAGGTCACGAGTTTGAGCTGTGGAAACAACCTCTTCCAGAAATACAGGGTAAGACTATGTAAAAAATAAATTATTGTGGTCTGGCCCTTCCCCGAAGCATGCGCGTAGTGGGAGCTTAGTGCACCGAGTAGCCTTTTTAGTATATAAAACTTAAATTCCTACAGTAAAGCTTCACTTGGTGAGTGACCCATTTCTTTTCATTTTCAAAGAGAAGAGATGTAGAAAATAATTAATCCTTTTCTTATTTTATAAAAAAATATGTAATAAGTTGTACTATTATTCTCGGAAAGTTTATACAGAAAGTTATATATGAGATGATGAAAACTCATATTAATTTGTCAAACTTATTGTTTCTTTATTTTCAAGCAAATGAATCCATGCTATGTTCAAGTATAATTGTGTATCTTTTGCCCTCTTATTAGAAGAAAATATTCAGTCTTACCTAGAAAAAAGAAAAACCACTTTGAACTGAAATCGATAAAACTCAATATATGTTTAGTATGATTAATTTTATATATGTAGCTAGCAAAATTACTTATAAATTATTTGGTATGATCCTTTTCATTACATTGACTCAAATAGAACCATGAACAACCTCACTAATTCCATCGTCAGGATCAAGATTAATGGAAACTTTTGTAATCAAAAACCAAATATTGCTATTATTTGTAATTGAAATTATATTCTTC